TGGACACTATCAGGACGAAGAGGCCACGCTTGGCCTTGCTCGAGAACGTCCGAGGGGTGCTCGTGCATTTGTTGAGGGTGATCAAGACGATGAAGAATGCTCTTGGGTCCGAGTACAATGTTATTGTCGCCCCTTTGCTGTCACAGTCCATTGAGGGAACTTACATGGTTGCCGTCTGCAGTGTCCGAGCACAGATTTGCTACACTAAGTTGGAGCTGGATGCAGCCCACCTGAGTGCTCGAGTAAGACGCCCAAGGGTCTGGTTCCTGCTGGTGCGAAGTGATCTGTGCCGTCCTGAGGCCGAGGCCAGCTGATTCTGATATAAACTGAATCATGCAGGTAGTGTGTCAGTCATGTTTCTGCATCTTGGGAGGCTTGGGCGAAAATCGCATCCGTGCTCAAAGATCTGGCCGAGATGGGCTACCGGTGCTGCGCACCGAAAGTGCAGGCACCACCAGGCCGATGTGCGATACAGCTTGGGCATTGTGAATGTCAGGGTTGTGGTAGCTCAGCCTGTCTGTGCAGGCACCAGGCCGAAGCTGACCAAGAGGGAGCACGATGTGCTTCGCATTGCGGCCGAGCAGCGCAGGGAGATGGACAAAGATTTCTACGCAGATGTCTCGCAGTCCGAAGGCACTGGGCCAGCAGAGTTGAAGTAGCATCATTGTGGTTGATGTTCTGAAGAATGTTTGAGTCCTGCTTCATTTGCGCAGACTACGTCCGCTGCGGCAGTGGTGTGGCGCCCACCTATGCCACGTCAACCAGGATGGCCTTTGTCAGCCCGAGCCGACCTTTGGACACTGCTCGAGTTCTTGATTGCCAAGCAGGGCTGGCCTTGCATGAGTTCCCACGAACAATGGTGATACCTGCTGGAGTGTCCAACGCCCAGCTTACCAGGATGCTTGGCAACTGCCAGCGTGTCCGAGCTGCAGCTGCAGCGTGGGTGGTTGGCGCAGCGCTGCTCACCCCTGGCCGTGGCCAGACCGCTGGCAGCAGCTCGAAGCCTGCCTTCTTCATGAGGGTGAAGCGCCCCTGCGGCACCCAGTCCATGTTTTGTGTACAGCATTGGGCGTTCCAACTCATGTGTGTGCATGTCTGCATCTGGGGCTGAGGCTGCTCGAGTCTAAGCAGCCTGAACTGGTGCCGATGATCACAAAGAAGAAGAAAGTCCGAAAAGGCAAGGCCGCCGTGGCCAAGCGGCCTGCAATGGCCACCTCGAGCAGTGCCGGCCCGAAGAAGCGGAAGCGCCTTGCCTGATAGGCCGACACAGCAAAATGTTGATTCGGTAACCAGGCCGACGCACTTGACAATTTTGACTCGGAGTACAGTCCGAGCAAAGTTACGGGCCAACAGGCTCGATCAGACCGGGTTTCAAAGCATGCCCATGGCAAAGAAATGACAACGAGCCAGGTCTGCTGGATGTATTTTTGGCTGTGTAATTCAGTGTTCTGTTTCGGCTCCGAGGTGCTTGGGGGCCCTTGGGCCGACACTCCTCTCGCAGCGCTCTCAAGTCTGGCTATCTGCGCAATTTTACACATTTCGTGAGGAATATAATTAAAATATATTAATAATATATTCTGACAGGTTTGGCAGAGTAAGGCATGTGAACCGTGGTGTGGCACATGCTTCTGACTAATTTCTGTATGCAATTATTTTGCACTTATCACCGCAAGAAAAGTCCGAAAATGAGTGTCAACAAGCCTCGGGGAAGGATGTCTGCCTGCTGCCATCATTATAGCTTGCAATAGCGGGCGCGGTGTGTCTTTATGATGCCAGCGGTTCGGCATTCTGCTTTGGCTCCGAGGTGCTTGGGGGCCCCTGGGCCGACACTGCTCTTGCAAGGCTGGGCTGTCCAAGTGGTAATGTGAATTCCATGTGCAATTTCACACATTTGGTGAGGTCAAAAATGTAAATATAAGATTGTGACAGGTTGTGCTGTGTTGCGGCTTTTGTAATTAGTAGGTTTAAGGCTTCTGGCAAATTCTGTGAGTTCTGCACTATGAGCATTGAATTGTAACAATTTGCCCCAGGCCCAAGAATTCAATAAAATGAGCCCGAGACAGTTTGGTAATTTCTACCCAGACAATTTGCAATGTTTCAGAACATTGTTGTTTGTCTGGGGGGGGAGGCGGCGGACCCCCGTACAATAACAAGGGTGCTGGACACCTTGAAACTGGGTTTCACAATCGATAGGCTTCTCCACCTTGTGAATTGTCTCTGTAACACCGGTGTTACCCTATACAAATGGTAATGTTCCAGGACATTGCCAACTGTCCAGGTAGATTCTTATCAACTGTCTAGACACGAATTGTCTCCGTAGCACCGGTGTTACAGAGACAATTTGTGTTTTCTTACCGAATATACCAAGACAGTTTGTGTTTTCCTACCAAATATACCAAGACAATTCGTGGTTCTGTACCAAATATACTGAGACAATTTGTTCCCGAATGTACTGAGACAATTCGTGTTTTCCTACCAAATATACCAAGACAATTCAGTGTTTCTAACCAAATATTCCAAGACAATTTATGTTCTCCTACCGGACACACCAAGACAATTCATTTCCCTCTACCAAATATACCCAGACAATTTGTGGTTCTCCATGAAACATACCTAGGCAATTCTAGAGTGTGTCGCTGTACCAGCTTCTATTTTCAGTCTCTATTGGCCATGCCCTGACAATTTAGTTGTCAATGGTAAACTGCCCTCAGTGATTATACCCAGACAATTCAAAAATTTTGTGTCTGGACAGGCTGAAGCCCAGAAGCTTGGAAATAGATGAATTAGTTCTTAGTCTTAATCACCGAAGTAATCAAATCCCCCACAGAGATGGATGCGCGACTTGTCAACAATGATGGAGAGGTCATATTCAAGCTTCTGAAATGCTCGCAGGTTGTGTGTGTGCCGAATCTGTAGCGCAAGCTGCGAGGCTTCTTCGTGCGGCTGCTGATCTCCCAGGCCAGACCAGGTATCAAATTGCTTGCTTTGGTTGGCTGCCGGGCATGGAATGACATCTGCAGCATGTTGAACGTAATTTCAGACCTGGTGGATCAAGCTGTGAGTGCACACAATGATTCTGGCACTTCCAGTCCACGCAGTGCAGTGAACCTTCATTGAACTTCTGACGCTCTATTCGCACCTCAGAACCGCATTTCTTTGGCTAGCCTCAGAGGGATGCCTTTCACTGCGGATCTAACAAAATCTTTGTGAACTTGGCCACCTGCCAGAATGTATGTAATGCTCGAACATGCAAGAACACTGCCATAAAACGCTCCTCCACAACATTGTCAACACTTTCGGATCCTTGTTGGCCATGGCAACGACAGTTTCGAAACGTCAATCGGGCAAAGCGCCCGAGGTAGCGACGAAGGCCGATCCCACCAAACAGCCCGAGACAGAGTCGCCAATGCCTGGAAGCCCAAAGAAGCCTGAGCAGCAGCCCGACCCAGTGGCCGCCCTGCAGCCTGACATGAAGAGGCAGGGAATTAGGCAAGATTGCAAGGGTATGCCAGTCATTGTCATGGGCGGCGAACTTGTGTGAGGCTGGCCCAGATGAGCGTCGAGCAGCTCATTGAAGATGGCCACCCTCTCAGCCCGACAGCCATCTATGAGCGCGCTTGGATGGCGCTTGCCAAGCACCTGCCCGATCAGGACTCCCTGTGGTTTGTTGCAAGCTTTCCGAGTGTGATTCTAGTTGGTAACTGGTGCAGCTGACTCTGCAGCGCAAATGTGCTCCGGCTTACTTTTAGCCCCTGTTCTCAAGCCAAAGCCCGAATTTTTGTTTGGTGAGTCATACGTCTGAAGTAGCTATAAAATCATAAGGGGGTCATTCGCTCGGCAACATCCGCATGGACAAACCTGCTGAGCCAGCATGAATCTTGTAGCATCAGGAAGGATAGTAAGCGGCACCAGGTTTTTCCAGTACTGACCAATGTTGGATGCTGAAGATGTGCGGCCTGCCACGGTCTATGCTCGAAGCAAGCGAGCTTGCGCCCAGCGGCCGGTGCTGAAATCACAACAGCGGCCGGGGGTCGCTGCAGACCTTGTTCCTGTACAGTGCAAAGCGCAGGTCCAGTCCGAGCCTAGCTCAAGATTAGGATGATTGTTCGGCATAGGGGTTTCAATTCTGTTTGCATTCTTGTCAAGATGAGGGTCACTTTTCTTTGGGGAATGTGTGCTGAGGATTGGAGCTCTCATATCGCTACATGTCGCGATGAGAAGTGCAAGAAATTTGGACAGTGCAAGTTTTATCGGATGTATATGAAACTCGGTCAGTGTTAGAATGGGTTTATAATGATTCCAATTCCTCAAAGGGCATTAGACACTGACCCCATCAAACGCATCTCTGCGTCCATGGGGATGCTCACCAAGGAAATGGTTGCCTCGCTTGTGCTCGACATCTGGCCACATATGGGTCGCCATTCGTCCACCTGCATGGAAGGGTGACACTCTGCTTCAATAGCAGTAACCAGCGTGTCAAATTACCTCAGTAGCTGACTGATTTCTGTTTATGGGAGTTACCAGTACCCTGCAAGAACATAACGGCCACCAAGGCATGGGGTGTGGGCTGCGTCTTTTGCGCACGAGCCGCAAAGAACAAGGAGGTGGCGTCGACGAAGTGGAGCCGCTTTGAAGTATCCAGCTCGATACAAATTCAGAACCTGCTACAGCATGCTGCCGGGCATCAGCATCAGATTGCAGGCCGAGCATACAGCCTGCCAGACGCAGGGTCTCTGGTTCCTATGCCCCAGTCCGATTCTGGGATTTATTTGCAGCCAGTGGCGGCATCCACTTCAGCCCAAGTCTGCCAGCCCGAGTTGCCGGCAGCCAAGATGCAACCCATGAAGTCCGATTTTGCAGGGCAGGCTGCCGAGTCCCAGTTGCAGCCGGCTGCGCAGTCGCCCGCTGCTTGGCTTCAAGCTTTCCGAATTGCGAAGCAGGCGCAAGTGCAGGGAAGTTCGGACAAGGAGCACGACCTTTCACGCCATAAGCTGAGGCAAATGTTCTGGTGCCTGGCCGAAGCAAAGCGGGAGGAAACTCGTGCGTGGTTCGGAAAGGCAGGCCGAAATGTTGCCATCTCCCTGGCCCATGATGCCCGAAAAACTGTTATTGCTGTCCGATATGTGGCTTGCAACAAACAGCTCGAAACAAGATCTGGCTTGGTTGGTCTGATATCAGGCTGCGGTGATGCAACTGCATATTCAAACCAGATAGTCCGAAGCATGCGGCAGCTGTTCAGCTACGGTGCAGGCGGTTTGGACCCGACGGGCGTGCTCGATGAGGCAGCCTTGCATGACTTCCAGCGCTCAGTCCGATGTATGTCGGCCGATGGGGCTCCTTACGCCCAGAAGGCGTGACTCGTGAGCTGGTGAATTTGAGAGCTGTAGTCCGAGATCGAGGCCACGCAGTGACAGGTGCCCTGAAGAACGCTGCCGAGGCCGATTCGTTGATCAGCTCCTTCAAGGACATGTTCATTTCTGGGCCGAGAAGTGTCTGCAAGCTGGTCACTCACAACCAGGCATTTGGGAAGTGTTTTGCCTTGGCGTGTGAGGCCGAACAAAGCACAAGCAAGCTGCCTGTGCTGACGGCGTTGCACTATGGCAAAGCTCGATTTCTGTCCCAAGTTTTGCCCGAGAGACGAATATTTCTGCAGCTGCTCGGTTTGGCTTTGGCCTTGAAGAAGTTCAGCAAGGAAGGCCGAACAGCTCAAGAAAGGACCTGGGCAGCGACCGCGCTCGATGCTCTTCAGTTCGAGAATCTGGCGGTCATGGGGGCTGTCACAGACGCAGAGGCCGATAGGACGGTCCAAAAGTGTGGTTCCATCAGGAAGTTTGAGCGCTGACCATGACATAATAACAAAATAAGATCATTGTACTTTTGCAGATCCATGTGTCCAAAACTTCTGACCTTTAAAACTTAAGCCTTAAACCCATCAACTCGAAGACACATTCCAATGCTTTTAGGCTGGTACAGGTGTGACAGGTGTTGATCTTCTTGTGTTACGAATTTGGGGCATGTATGTATCGTTCGGCTCCTGATGCTGGCAATCGCAAGCCTAACAGTTTTCCAACAAGCAGTGTAGTAGGAACCCAAATTCCTTCAATGCAGTAAAGCCCCTTATGTGCTAACATGCAGAAATCGTATGTTGCTGCATTGGCATGTGCGTAAGGGTTTGCAGTGTTGGTGATCCAGGGCATACTACTGTTAGTGGTTTCTTTAGGCTGTCACTTTGGAAATCCTGTCAGGAGATGGTGCTCGAGTTGGTTAGGAAGCTCGATTCTGAATCGGCCGATGTGAGCATTCAGGCCAGTCTAGTCCGAGAATTTTGTGAGAGCATGCGCACCCTCTTCTTGGATGGGCAGATATGGTCCAGCGACAATGATGGGACATGGGTGCGGCATACCCTGGATCAGGCCAAGGATCTTGGGCTGTGGCCGGCAGACCAGGCCGAACTGAAGATCCTGCTGGGTAAGGTTCACGGCCGTGTCTCCACCTATGATTCTTTCCTTGAACATCAACATCTTAAAGTATTTCCTTTCCAAATAATCTTTTCCTTAAAGAGTTGTCTCATGAGAGCTCTCTGCATTTTCCAGCGACAAGGTCCGAATCATTCTCGAGGGTGTGCAGGCCGAGTTTCCCGATCAGGAACTGGTCAGTCAGCTCGAGGCTCTTGCGCCTAGCATGTGGAGTTCGCTCAAGAACTTTGGCCCTTCAGCTCCAGAACAGGCAGCAAAAGTACGCAGGAAGGCCGAGCTAGAGGGTAAGTTCCGCAAACTCGCGACATGCTTGGGTTTGCCTGCTGCGGAAGCCTTTGCTCAATTCCAACAGGTGCAGGACTGATTTTGCAAGTGAAGTCTGAAGCCTAGAGTCTTCTAATTCTAGCAGTACATTTTCCTCATCTACAGCTTGCTACCAAACCGGCCTTCATCCCTCCAGGACACCCTTGTGCACACATGGCAGAAATTGGGCAATCACCTCGAGGCGTGGCGAACTGTGCTGTCACGACATGTGCAATCACGGGCACGGACTTCGGTGGAACATTTGTTTTAGGGTGGCAAAACTCAGAACCAATTTGGGTTCAGTTGAACAGTATGGTGTGGTTTCAGTCGAACTGCATCTTTGATGTAGCAGTTTGCGTGTGCCAGCCAAGGTTCACCATGCTGCTGTTCTATGGCGCGGCCACAACATCAACCCAAGGGGTGGAAAGTCAATTTTCTGAGCTCGAGAGACAGAATGCGCCACGTGTTGCCCAGCAAATGCTACTTCGCACAAGAGACAAGGTGGAAATTTCGCAAATGAATGAGACCGAGCTCATTCAGAACGGCGCAGTTCAGCCCCTCCTGCAAAATGCTGCACAAAACCGTCCGCGTCTTATCCTGCAGCATTCGAGCTGCTAACAGTTTTCTGAACTTTTTTTACTACTTTTTTCTAGTTCTGAGGTTTTGTCGCC